TCCACTGCGGTGCCGTCGATGTGGATAGTGGGGTGCACCCTTTGCTGTTTCCTGAAGTCCACGATCATTTCCTTTGTTTTGTTGACGTTGAGTGAGAGGTTATTTTCCTGGCACCACACTCCAAGAGCCCTCACCTCCTCCCTGTAGGCGGTCTCGTCATTGTTGGTAATCAAGCCTACTACTGTTGTGTCGTCTGCAAACTTGATGATTGAGTTGGAGGCGTGCTTGGCCATGCAGTCATGGGTGAACAGGGAGTACAGGAGGGGGCTGAGCACACACCCTTGTGGGGCCCCAGTGTTGAGGATCAGCGAAGTGGATATGTTGTTTCCTACCTTCACCACCTGGGGGCGGCCCATCAGGAAGTCCAGGAACCAGTTGCACAGGGTGGGGTTCAGACCCAGGGCCTCAAGCTTAATGATGAGCTTGGAGGGTACTATGGTGTTGAATGCTGAGCTATAGTCAATGAACAGCATTCTTACATAGGTATTCCTCTTGTCCAGATGGGATAGGGCAGTGTGATTGCATCGTCTGTGGATCTATTGGGGCGGTAAGTAAATTGAAGTGGGTCTAGGGTGACAGTTAAGGTAGAGGTGATATGATCCTTGACTAGTCTCTCAAAGCACTTCATGATGACAGAGGTGAGTGCTACAGGGCGATAGTCAATTAGTTCAGTTACCTTTGCTTTCTTGGGTACAGGAACAATGGTGGCCATATTGAAGCATGTGGGAACAGCAGACTGGGAAAAGGGAGCGATTGAATATGTCCATAAAAACACCAGCCAGCTGGTCTGCGCATGCTCTGAGGACGCGGCTAGGGATGCCATCTGGGCCGGCAGCCTTGCGGGGTTTAACATGCTTAAATGTCTTAATCACGTCGGCCACGGAGAAGGAGAGGCCACAGTCCCTGGTAGTGGGCCTCGTCAGTGGCACTGTGTTATCCTCAAAGTGGGCGAAGAAGGTGTTTAGCTTGTCTGGAAGCGAGACGTCGGTGTCGGCGACGTGGCTGGTTTTCCTTTTGTAGTCCGTGATTGTCTGTAGACCCTGCCACATACGTCTCGTGTCTGAGCCGTTGAATTGCGACTCCACTTTGTCTCTATACTGATGTTTTGCCAGTTTAATTGCCTTGCGGAGTGAGTAGCTACACTGTTTGTATTCTGCCATATTCCCAGTCACCTTGCCATGGTTAAATGCGGTGGTTCGCGCTTTCAGATTTGCGCAAATGCTGCCATCTATCCACGGTTTCTGGTTAGGGTCGATTTTAATAGTCACAGTGGGCACAACATCACCTATAGACTTCCTGATAAACTCAGTCACTGTTTCAGTGTATTTGTCAAAATAATTTTCGGAAGCTACCCGGAACATATCCCAGTCCGCGTGATCAAAACTTGAAGCGTGGATTCCGATTGGTCAGACCAGCGTTGAATAGTCCTTAGCACGAGTATTTCCTGTTTGAGTTTCTGCCTATAGGAAGGGAGGAGCAAAATGGAGTCGTGGTCAGATTTGCCGAAAGGAGGGCAGGGGAGGGCCATATAACCATCCCGGAAGTTCGAATAGCAATGGTCGAAGATTTTGGCAGTCGATATGTTGATAGAACTTGGCAGCCTAGTCCTCAAATTTGCTTTGTTAAAATCCCCTGCTACAATAAATGCAGCCTCAGGATATGTGGGTTTCAGTTTGCATAAAGTCCAGTGAAGTTCTTTGAGGGCCGTCGTGACATTATGGGTGTAACAGAAAAAAACTATATTTAATCCATTTTAAATTCAGGCTGTAACACAACAAAATGTGGAAAAAGTCAAGGGGTGTGAATACTTTCTGAAAGCACTGAACAACACAGCAGCTTATAGGCATGTTTTGTGTAACAAAAAATCGACAACGAAGTTGGCTCTTTTACAATGGGGGTCAATGGAAAATAATGTTTGTTTTCCCAAATTTGTGGGCGTGGTCGAGGGGTATTTCTTCTTATGATATGGATACCAATACCAATAAATTACAATACATTACTCTTCGATGTAGGTTCTAAATCATAACTGTAACTGATTTAAATCATAACGGTAACCACAACACAGCAGCTGGACAACCACAATATACTACAATCCACGGTGTAATACATTAACTTACACTGTAGACCAACTAATATTTCATAACTGAAAATGATAACAGCTGGACAAACAGCTGAGTAATGTTAGTGTTGACGTTGTTCATCACAATCTCCCACTGCGATGTGGAATGCAAATCAGCTGTATCAGGTAGCTAGGCTTACATTCTGAAAAAAGCTGTATTCTACATTCTAACAAGCTCGTACAAGACAAGACCCATCTTGTTTCTCTCTACTGTTCCTGTTTCTGCACCTCCTCTAAGGTTTAGCACGACATGAAAAAATGTAACCTCTCAGAGACAGTGTTTTGCACAAGTACATAGAGTGGCGAAATAGAAAAAGTAGTCAGCCCTTGGGATCCCGAGGACCGATTTTGGGCCTACATTGTCAGGAATATTTTCAAGTAAGAGAACATTAAAACCTTCTAACATTTAACCTGTCTTCTTTTGAGATTATAAAGTCTTATTGACAGTTTAACTGCAAGATTTGAATTGCCACAATGTTGTTTGTTCTTCAAATTACAGTGCATTCGGAAAGTACTCAGACCCCTTGACTTTTTCCACATTTTGTTACGTTACAGCCTTATTCTAAAATTGATTTAAATAGTTTTTTCCCCCATCATCAATTTACACACAATACCCCATAATGACAAAGAAAAAACAGGTTTCTATAAATTTCTGTTAATTTATTACAAATAAAAAACAGAAATAACTTATTTACATAAGTATTCAGACCCTTTGCTATGAGACTCGAAATTGAGCTCAGGTGCATCCTATTTCCATTGATCATCCTTGAGATATTTCTACAATTTGATTGGAATCTACCTGTGGTAAATTCAATTGATTGGACATGATTTGGAAAGGCACACACCTGTCTATATAAAGTCCCACAGTTGACAGTGCATGTCAGAGCAAAACAAGCCAGGAGGTCGAAGGAATTGTCCGTAGAGCTCTGAGACAGGATTGTGTCGAGGCACAGATCTGGGGAAGGGTACCAAAACATTTCTGCAGCAATGAAGGTCACCAAGAACACAATGGCATCCATCATTTTTAAATGGAAGAAGTTTGGAACCACCAAGACTCTTCCAACAGCTGGCCGCCCGGCCAAACTGAGCAATCGGGGGAGAAGGGCCTTGGTCAGGGAGGTGACCAAGAACCCGATGGTCACCATTCTTCTATGGAGATGTGGAGATGGGAGAACCTTCCAGAAGGACAACCATCTCAGCAGCACTCCACCAATCAGGCCTTTATGGTAGAGCGGCCAGACGGAAGCCACCCCTCAGTAAAAAGGCACATGACAGCCCATTTGGAGTTTGCCAAAAGGCACCTAAACGATTCTCAGACAATGAGAAACAAGATTCTCTAGTCTGATGAAACCAAGATTGAATTCCTTGGCCTGAATGCCAATCGTCACGTCTGGAGGAAACCTGGCACCATCCTTATGGTGAAGCATGGTGGTGGCAGCATCATGATATGGGGATGTTTTTCAGCGGCAGGGACTGGGAAACTAATCAGGATCCTTGATGAAAACCTGCTCTAGAGCACTCATGACCTCAGACTGGGGCGAAGGTTCACCTTCCAACAGGACAACGACCCTAAGCACACAGCCAAGACAATGCAGGAGTGGCTTCGGGACAAGTCTCTGAATGTCCTTGAGTGGCCCAGCCAGAGCCATGATTTGAACCCGGTCAAACATCTCTGGAGAGACCTGAAAATAGCTGTGCAGCGACGCTCCCTATCCAACGTGACAGAACTTGAGAAGATCTGCAGAGAAGAATGGGAGAAACTCCCCAAATACAGGTGTGCCAAGCTTGTAGCGTCATACCCAAGAAGACTCGAGGCTGTAATCGCTGCCAAAGGTGCTTCAACAAAGTACAGAGTAAAGGGTCTGAATACTTATGTAAATGTTTTAAAAAATGTATTTTCTTCGTTGAAATTTGCAAAAATGTCTAAAAACCAGTTTTTGCTTTGTCATTATGGGGTATTGTGTGTAGATTGATGAGAAAAAACAAAACAATTTAATCAATTTTAGAATAAGGCTGTAAAGTATCAACATTTTGAAAAGGTCAAGGGGCCTGAATACTTTCCGAATGCACTGTATGTATTTTATTAAAACAGAAAAATTAAGTAAATAGGACATATTATCTTGAAAAATAATTTAAAGGTTAAATAGAAAAAATAAAAGGGTTATATCAGTCTTAACTATTATATCTTTCAGATTTTACATAGCCTAAATCAATAAAAAATTATCATTCGGTAGGGCTCTATAAAATCTGTTATTTCTTTCCATGATTCCATTTTGTTCTTTCCCAAATTCCGTTTAGATTTTCCAGGTTTCCGTTTATCCCATTTTTTCCAGGTATTCACTCTCAAAATCACTTTTTTTTTTTTTTAAGAAAAACTAATAAATTGGACGTTGTAAGTCCACAACAATGCTTAAAACACATTAGAGACCACTTTTGAGGTCTGGGAAAAAACTGATTTTTTAAAATGTTTATTCAAGTGCACAACTAGCAAGAGACTGTTGTTTAGTGCACATGTGATGGACAGCGGAGTCGGAGTCCCTGCCCATCCACCAAAACGTCCGAAACGTCTGAAGAGTTTCTTAAATAAACTCTCATGGCACCATCGACTCCCCTCTCCTAGCACTGACTTCGCTGATAAATCCTTTGTTGAGGGAAAATGTACATCATACGATTGTGATGTGCTTGTCTCACATAGCTATGTTAAGATAAATGCACTAATTCTAAGTCGCTCTGGACTAAAATGTAAAAATGTGTGTGTGTGTGTGTGTACTCTGTCAGTCCGTCCGTGTGTGTGTGTGTGTGTGTGTGTGTGTGTGTGTGTGTGTGTGTGTGTGTGTGTGTGTGTGTGTGTGTGTGTGTGTGTGTGTGTGTGTGTGTCTTACTAGGAGGCCGAGTCGTTGAGCTGGTACTCTCTGGAGCGCAGGAAGCAGGTCTGGACCCCGCTGTCCGTCCACAGTCTCCGCATCACGCCGGTCAGATCTGATGATACCACACCCTCCGCTGTCGTACCAGCCAATACAAACAGCTGACGGGCATCGTCCTGGCAACAGAGACATGCCCATTAGACCACTGATTGATTGATTGGTTGGTTGATTAAGTTTCAAGTTTTAATGTCACGTGCACAAGTACAGTTAAATGCCTTTCTTGCAAACTCAAAACCCAAGAATGCAATCATCAATAACAATGTAATACTATAAAAAAAACAAGAGAAATAAGAATAAGATGAAATACACAAAGCAAGTAAGTAAGCAAGCATACTATATACAGGAAATATTTAAAAAGTTAAAATTTGCAAATAAATTCATTAAAAATCCTACAATGTGATTTTCTGGATTTTTTTTTCTCAATATGTCTGTCATAGTTGACGTGTACCTATGATGAAAATTACAGGCCTCTCTCATCTTTTTAAGTGGGAGAACTTGCACAATTGGTGGCTGACTAAATACTTTTCTCCCCCACTATATACAGGAAATATTTAAAAAGTCAATTCCAATACCATATTTACAGTGATGGAGGTAGATATGTATAGGGGTCAGGTGACTAGGCATCAGGATATATGATAAACAGAGTAGCAGCAGCTTGTATGTGAATGGGTGTCTTTAGAGTCAGTATAAATGTATGTGCATATGATGTGTGAGTGAGAACATGATGGAGTGACAGTGCGTGTGTGTGTTTAGGGCCCTGTGAGTGTGCACAGAGGTCAATAAAGATATTTGCCAGTCTTATGGCTTCGGGATAGAAACTGTTCAAGAGCCTGTTGGTGTCAGACTTGATGCACCGGTACCTCTTGCCTTGCGGCAGCAGAGAAAATAGTCTATGGTTTGGGTGGTTGGGGTCTTTGACGAATTTCCAGGCCTTCTTTTCACACCTCCTGATATAGAGGTCCTGGATGGCAGGCAGCTCGGCCCCAGTGATGTACTGGGCTGTCCGCACCACCTTCTGTAGCACCATGTGATCGAGGGCGGTGCTGTTGCCATACCAAGCAGTGATGCAGCCAGTCAATATGCTCTCAATGGTACAGCTGTAGAACCTTTTTCAACCTCCTGAGGGGAAAGAGGCACTGTCACGCCTTCTTCACCACTGTGGATGTGTGTTTGGACCATTTTAAGTCTTTAAGCGATTTGGACACCGAGGAACTTGAAGCTGTCTACCTGCTCCACGGTCCAGAGTCCTAAGCTTGGTGACGAGCTCGGAGGGGTAATGGTGTTGAATGCTGAGCTGTAGTCAATGAACAGAATTCTCACTGATTGATTGACCAGTGTTTCCCAAATGGATTCTGGGGGCCAGTTCCAAATACTTCATATATTCCAGAACAAGCCAGCCCCTTGATTAGTTCAAATCAGGTGTGCTAGTCTAGAATAGATAGAATAAGTGGAACACATAGACAGAACTATATGCCTAACGCTTGTGAAGACCAATTTCTGTTTCGATGGACAACAAAGTTGCGTGTTGTGTTGTGTTGTGTTGTGTCGTGTCGTGTCGTGTTGTGTTGTGTTGTGCGCCTACCGCTCGTGCGGCGTCCCCAAAGTCTATCTTCAGGCGTCCCATGGCTCTGATGATGGCGATGATGGACTGGATGGTGTTGCTGTACACCACCACTCTGTACTGCTTACACTCCTCCTCGGAGTAGCCGGCCTCGTGGATGATCCTGAATAGGAGGACACGGAGGATCATCTTTTAGATCAGTGAATGATTTCGTGAAACTTTATTTTTAAATACTTTATCTGTGCCTAGGTGAGCTTGCCTGGCTTAAATAAACCATCTGGCACACCAGGCAGACTCAAGAAAACGCTTAAAAAGTATTTGAAAGGACTTTTCAAGTATTTGAGCCCAGATCTATTTCAGATAAACCCAAGTAACATTTAATGCTTCACAGAAGTCACTGGGTGTGTTCCGATATCAATATTCACTTAGTATGAAGCAATGTATTAGGCATTCACTCTACGTGGTGAGGACATTGGATCATAGCCACTCTCTAATAAAGCAAACCTGATCAAGAATGGGACAACATTCAGGATGATCTTTTAAGATTTCAGATAAACCCAAGTAGGGTTGCGACTTTTCCAAAGTTCCTGGTTGACGGAAATCTTGGTTGGAGAATTAATTATTAGCTTATTCTCTTCTAATTCCGGCAATTCTTCAACTGGGATTTCAGAGAAATAAACCTAGTAATTTTAGGGAAGGTTTCTGGAATTCAAGTTACATGTATTGGCTTCCTGTATGCGTGGACATTTAGGACAACACAAGTCATTTAAAAAAGCAACCTACTTTTAATAGCATGGTGAATTGTGCATGAACGACGAGGCGTGGGCTTTCTTTAACGTGGGAATCCAGGGTTGGGAGTCTATTCAGGCCGTATCAGGCTAGCCTCTGTGACCATTGTTTAGCGTGTTATGTAACGGGTGCTTCCCTCCATACTCTCTCTGCCTGAGCAGCACCGTGTTAAATGAGGCTAGCGTCTCTCTATGCATCCACAGCACACGGTCACACACACACCGCACGCACGCACACACACACACACACACACACACACACGCACGCACGCACGCACGCACGCACGCACGCACGCACGCACGCACGCACACACACACACACACACACACACGCACTGAGTGACGGAGATTAACTCAGCTGGCGATGCCGATTCTCCCTGAACTATTAAGGCTTCACTAAATACTGTACTTGGATATTATTATTATTATTATTATTATTATATTGTTATCATATTCCGAATGCCATTTGTATCGGTTAACTGTTCGATAAGTTAAAATGATCAGTTATACAACTTATTAAAAATCACCAGAAATGGTGTCAGTAACCTTTGACGTGGTTCATGCAAGTTTGTTAGAATCCAGTTTGGGCTGCAATGTGCTACCATCGTGGTGTAGGTGAGATTGATAGAATTCCATTTGGAACTAATGCTGAGCAATAAAAAAAATATATATATTCTCTTCCGATAATTAAACAACTAATTGACCGATTCAATTACTTCAATTCCCATTTTACTTTGTTTTTTTTGGGGGAGGAGCTCAACGCGCCGTTTCTCTACAGACAAATCCTACCAGCACGAGAGACATCACATCAAGAATGAACTGTGGGACGCTGTAGGGAGTTGTAGTTTTCAATAGGCCAATATTCAACCTAGTTCAGCGCAGAAAACATGGTAATTAACTACAACACAGCAACGATCAGTTCTGGAAGTATAGCTCTACTAACCGACTGATAGTTGTAGCAGTCTTGAAAGTATGCCTAATCTCCTTTGAAGGAAGTACTAAATGGTGATTCGTACAGACAGGTCGAGCAGCACGGGCACGGGCAACCCAATGCTACGGTTTCGAGCCTGGGGGCTGTTCTTGGGTAGACGATCGTCAGATCATGCTGTTTTTAAAAAAAAAAGGATTAACAGATACAGATTATTTATGGGGACAGATAGAACACCTGCTCTTTCCATGACAGACTGACCAGGTGAATCCAGGTGAAAGCGATGATCCCAACGGAGACATGGATTGTGTATGTGTGCCATTCAGAGGCTAAATGGGCAAGGCAAAACATGTAAGCGCCTTTGAAAGGGGTATGATAGTAAGTAGGTGTCAGGCCCACTGGTTTGAGTCAAGAACTGCAACGCTGCTGGGTTTTTCACGCTCAACAGTTTCCCGTGCGTATCATGAATGGTCCACCACCCAAAGTACATCCAGACAACATGACACAACTTTGGGAAGCATTGGAGTCAACATTGGCCAGCATTCCTGTGAAACACTTTCAACACCTTGTAGAGTCCATGCCCCGACTAATTGAGGCTGTTCTGAGGGCAAAAGGGGGTGCAACTCAATATTATACTGAACAAAAATATAAACGCAACATGTGTTGGTCTCATGTGCTGAAATAAAAGATCCCAGAAATGTTCCATATGCACAAAAAGCTTATTTCTCTAAAATGTTGTGCACAAATGTGTTTACATTCCTGTTAGTTAGCGTTTCTCCTTTTTCAAGACAATCCATCCACCTGACAGGTGTGGCATATCAAGAAGCTGATTAAACTATAAGTCGCTCTGGATAAGAGCGTCTGCTAAATGACTAAAATGTAATGTAAATGTAAACAGAATCATCATTACACAGGTGCACCTTGTGCTGTTTTGTCACACAACACAATGCCACAGATGTCTCATGTTTTGAGGGAGCGTGCAATTGGCATGCTGACTGCAGGAATGTCCACCAGAGCTGTTGCCAGAAAATGTAATGTTTATTTCTCTACCATAAGCCGCCTCCAATGTCGTTTAAGAGAATTTGGCAGTACGTCCAACCGGCCTCACAACCGCAGACCACGTGTTACCACGCCAGCCTAGGACCTTCACATCCGGCTTCTTCACCTGCGGGATCATCTGAGACCAGCCGCTCGGACAGCTGATGAAACTGAGGGTTCGGGGGCATGGAAACGTTGCTCAATTGACTGACTGGATGTTATTTGTTTGTCGCACCATTCTCGGTAAAACCCTAGACACTGTCATGCGTGAAAAGCCCAGGAGGACGGCCGTTTCTGAGAGACTGGCCCCGATGATCATACCACGCTCAACGTTGCTTAGTAGGTCACTCGTCTGCCTGCTTTATATAGCAAGCCACGGCCATGTGACTGTCTGTAGGAGCGAACCATTTTCGTGAACGGGGTGGTGTCCCTAATAAACTGGCCACTGAGTGTATATACACAGCAAAAATATTTGATTTAAGCAAAGTAATGTAAATATCTGATGGTTAATAAGTGATAAGCTGTAATGGGCAGTCACTACCATCATGGGGCTCTATATTCTGTGTTGTTAGAGACAATGGAATGTTTTCACTGTTTTACTAACTAAATGTTATCAATATTTGGGTTTGGGATTTCAATTAAAAAAGCTCTAAAATAATTTCAAGGTCATATTTCATAATGCATTTAAACAATCTCAAAAAGCACTAATCTCTCAGCAACATTCTACCCATGGAAACATAACGAATAGAACAGGCTTGGAACCTCATCACCTCGTCATCCTGGTTCTGTGCTACTCCCATCATGGAGTGGGCGTTTGATAGAATGCAGTTAGGACTACAAAGTGCTCACATCGTTGTTGTTATACGTGTTGAACTTACTTCATCTGCTTCACTATGGTACTTTTCCCAGACTCCCCAGCCCCTGAAAAGAAAAAGAGACAGAAATTACAGAACTAGTAATGACATAACAATCGTCAGAGAACTAGGCCTACATTTCTCACCTATCACAGCTCTCCATGACCTTTATTTCTGTCAGTCTGTCGGTCTCTGAATCTCTCTGAGACTTTCTCTCTCTCTCTGCCTGTGTGAGTCTCTCTCTCTTCTCTGCCTGTGTGAGTCTCTCTCTCTCTGCCTGTGTGAGTCTCTCTCTCTCTGCCTGTGTGAGTCTCTCTCTCTCTGCCTGTGTGAGTCTCTCTCTCTCTGCCTGTGTGAGTCTCTCTCTCTCTGCCTGTGTGAGTCTCTCTCTCTCTGCCTGTGTGAGTCTCTCTCTCTCTGCTGTGTGAGTCTCTCTCTCTTGCCTGTGTGAGTCTCTCTCTCTCTGCCTGTGTGAGTTCTCTCTCTCTCTGCCTGTGTGTGTCTCTCTCTCTCTGCCTGTGTGTTCTCTCTTCTCTGCCTGTGTGTCTCTCTCTCTGCCTGTGTGTCTCTCTCTCTCTGCCTGTGTGAGTCTCTCTTCTCTGCCTGTGTGAGTCTCTCTCTCTCTGCCTGTGTGAGCTCTCTCTCTCTGCCTGTGTGAGTCCTCTCTCTCTGCCTGTGTGAGTCTCTCTCTCTCTGCCTGTGTGAGTCTCTCTCTCTCTGCCTGTGTGAGTCTCTCTCTCTCTGCCTGTGTGAGTCTCTCTCTCTCTGCCTGTGTGAGTCTCTCTCTCTCTCTGCCTGTGTGAGTCTCTCTCTCTCTGCCTGTGTGAGTCTCTCTCTCTCTGCCTGTGTGAGTCTCTCTCTCTCGCCGTGTGAGTTCTCCTCTCTGCCTGTGTGAGTCTCTCTCTCTCTGCCTGTGTGAGTCTCTCTCTCTCTGCCTGTGTGAGTCTCTCTCTCTGCCTGTGTGAGTCTCTCTCTCTCTGCCTGTGTGAGTCTCTCTCTCTCTCTGCCTGTGTGAGTCTCTCTCTCTCTGCCTGTGTGAGTCTCTCTCTCTCTGCCTGTGTGAGTCTCTCTCTCTCTGCCTGTGTGAGTCTCTCTCTCTCAGATGTCACCATGAGAGCACCAGCATGGACACAGATAGGAGCGTGCTGTCTCTCTCTCTCTCTCTCTGATAGGAGCGTGCTGTCTCTCTCTCTCTCTCTGATAGGAGCATGCTGTCTGTCTCTCTGATAGGAGCGTGCTGTCTCTCTCTCTCTGATAGGAGCGTGCTGTCTGTCTCTCTGATAGGAGCGTGCTGTCTCTCTCTGATAGGAGCGTGCTGTCTGTCTCTCTGATAGGAGCGTGCTGTCTCTCTCTCTCTCTGATAGGAGCGTGCTGTCTGTCTCTCTGATAGGAGCGTGCTGTCTCTCTCTCTCTGATAGGAGCGTGCTGTCTGTCTCTCTGATAGGAGCGTGCTGTCTCTCTCTCTCTGATAGGAGCGTGCTGTCTGTCTCTCTCTCTGATAGGAGCGTGCTGTCTCTCTCTCTCTGATAGGAGCGTGCTGTCTCTCTTCTTGATAGGAGCGTGCTGTCTCTCTCCTCTGAT